GTGTGTGTTACATGCTGTGCCTGAAACAGGCTGCACGGGCCATTTTCAGGCCCGTGTTGTTTTCAGCCCAAAAGCCTGAAAACAAGGGCTTACAGGCCCTGTGTCGTTTCAGCCTGAAAGCCTGAAAACAAGGGCCTACAGGCCCTGTGTCATTTCAGCCTAAATCAGGGCCTTTCCGGCCCTGAGTCTTTTCAGCCTGAAACTGAGGGCCATTTTCAGGCCCTCATAAGATCGACCTGCCCTGAAACTCAGGCACCAGACCAGGGTTTTAGCTCAGGCCATTTTTGGCCTATTTTTCAAGACAACCTTCATTTGAGCTTCAACCCCAGGGTCTGGCACGTTTTGTGTTACATACTCCAATGAGTATGGGCAGAACCAAGAATCAACCAATGTAGGATGAGTATAGATGCAACGGAAGTCTGATAAACGGACTGACTCACATAGACTGACTCACATAGCATCACTCCACACACATACAATCGTGAGATGGTGGGGTCTGAGCCATACAAAGAAGGTGCTCAGCCCCGTACACAACATACACAGATGAATGGGGGGAGGAGAGACGAAGGAGGTGGGGTAGGTAGACAGCACTGAAAGTCACCGAGATAGAATCTGATARGTCACCGATATGGTAGTCCAAAATGTCATCCAACAAGATCAAAATGTCGAGGACAATAGGTCGCCAATGTCGGAGGTACAGAGTCCAAATGTAACCGGTGTCCGAACTGCGATGCAGCCGAGTGTCAACCCCAACAATCTCCAAGTCTCCAATCAGGTAAGTACCACAGTCTCATATCACCGAAGTCCAACTCTGATCTCTGTCCAACTAGTATACGTATCCAATCTGATGAAGAAGAAGAAGAAGAAGAAGAAGAAGAAGAAAGAGAGAGGGAGAGACGAAGGTGAGGAGGGGGGAAAGGGACCGAGGAGGGAGGAATAGATCCCCGCCTCCTGGTACCTGCAGCTGCTGCTGCTGAGGCGGCGATGGCCGCCGTGCCGCTGCTGCTGTCCTCGCTCGCTGCTGCTGCGCTGCGCTGCGCTGCTCCTTGCTGCTCCTGCGCTAAAGCTAGCGCCAGCRCTAATTTGCGCTGTAMCATACCGYACCGGTACAATGCCGGCAGGTCGATCCCCAGCTGAGGCTGGACCGGTACCTTTGTACCGGTGGGCAGAGGCCGGCCTCAATGCTGCGAGGCCTGGCCGTGCCCTGAACCGTCCAGATGGACGGTTCAGCCCCAACCGGCGGGCGGCAGCCTCAAGAGCGCCGCCAGGCCCAAACGGTAATGTCGTCTGGGCCTGCCCGTCGGGTCTGGTCCAAGGTGAGGCCTTTAAGGCCTGAAGTACCCCCAAGGTCGGGCCTTTGGGCCCTGGTGTGTCCCTCTAGTCCTAAGTCGGGTCCGTAGGACCCGTGTGGCGTCGAAGATGTAACATTTTGGCATGGGCAAGAGCAGCCTCCTGGACGGGCCAGCACTATATAAGACTGGCCCGTCCTGCAGGCTGCAGGTAGTTCCTAGGTACTTCCCAGGCACTTCCCGTGCAGTTCAGGAGGCAGGAGGTTGTCTTCAGGATTCGGCAGCAGCACTCTGGAGGAGCGCTGCAGTAGTAGTTGTAGCGCTAGCTGCAGTCTTCAGCGCTGGGCGCTAGTAGCATTAGCAGTAGTCTTCAGCGCTGGGCGCCATAGAAGCTAGAGTAGTACTAGAGAGAGAGAGAGATTGGGCGGAGGCCAGGGAGACTTACCTGCAGCGCCGTTGCTTCAGCTTCGTCTTCGAGGTACCTGCAGC